AAGCCTTTTATATGATGCAAATAATAGGTTACATACAAGTTTCAAGTATGAAGAAGAAATTATAAAGAAGAAAAGAAAAAAGGAAAGAATAAAAAATAATAGTGATGCTGTTAACACTTATTTACCCCTTTCTCCTTCCTCCCCTCATCCCTCTTCCCTCCCTCCCCTCGTTTAAAAAATTATAAACGTAAATGGTGCTTTTAAAAAAAAAAGTTTATAGTGTGTAAATATAAAAGTTTGTTTACATGAACCCTCCTCAAATGAAGGTGAAGCCCTCCTCTAAAGAATACCATGTATCTTTATCTTGGGCTATTTGCGGCCAGCGGGTACCAGCTATTTTTATCAGCTCCTCTGCCCATCTCATCCCATTCGTCGATTACATTTTTTTATTTTTATTTAGCTTAGATTTAGTTTTATTTTTGTTGAACGAGAATTACACATTCTGTTGCATGTCAAGTAATTGTCACAACTTAACATTTTTTCCGTTACTGGCGTCAACCATGCACTAAATCGTCGAGTTGAAGACACTGTTTTGTATGACCAAATACCATTCAAGATTCACTGCAAATTCACTAAAGGAATGTCATCATATTGAAACACCAATTGACATTTCATCAAGCGACCTCTCATTAATGTAAGTAAGTACTCATTATAAAGTTGCAACGATCTGTGAAACTAGTAATACGGCAATAATAAACACAGTGTTCTTTGAGTGTTTTGTTCGTGTTTTTTTTTAATGGGATAGCCGTTTCGGATTGTGTATCCGAAAGCGTATTACGTCTGTCGAAATGTCGCAATGTCGAAATTTCGACATTTGCAGAATGAATATTTTTAAGATCATTACGGTATCATCGCAGAAATTCTTTTACGTGTTACGTTCTCTTGAGATTCGGCTGTTACAATGCAATATTTTTCGATATTAAGAGATGTTTTTGATACAAACATTTCTCAATATCGTCAGTAGGACGCTGTTTCGACATTTCGAACCTTCTGTAATATGCGTATCTTTTGTTATTTAGATATTACATTTATTTTTTTTCAAATCATTGGAATAGTTTAGTAAACTTAAAGACGCTTTGTATGGCTCAAATCAGATTTCTTTCATTGAGATGTATAAATCATTAATGGAACCCACATTTTCTTTTAATAACAATTATACATGCAAATGTGTGGGCCACGTAGCGAATTTTAAAGATGAAAGATGGACCAAAAGAGCTACTTCATGGAGTGGTCCAGCCGGAAAGAGACAGAGAGATGGCAAGATGACATCACAAGGACAGCGGGCCCAAACTGGACACAGGTGGCCCCAGAATAGGGAACATTGGTTTTCGTTGCAGGCCTTCACTTGAGGAGAGGTTCTTGCAAATAAGTTAAAGGAAAAAAGAAAGTATACACATATGTTATCCACATATGTATTATAAGAATTGCTATTATTGGTATTGCAAGAAATATAAAGGTTTTTTATTTATTTATATGGATGTAAATATCACACAATCGTTAATATTTTTTCCAATTCATCTTCACGTCTAAAGAAGTGTTCAATGGAGAACCTATTTTCTTATTTTTCAAAATGAGTCAGTATATTAGGTAGGCTTTAATTGCTTTTGTAGCTTAGTATGGGTGAACAATATTGTAATGACGGTTATTTACCAAGGAAACTGAGAATTCTAATATCGAAGAGATTTATGGTAATCCTAGGACTTAGATGAAACTTCATATGTTTGGGCAGACCCATAATTCCATCGTCATATCATATGATACACGACCCACTATATTATTGTATTATATATTGGGTCGTGTCGTATACTAATATTATTGTAACATATTTATTCATAAATAAATACATATATTTTTACTAGTGGTAGGACCTCTTGTGAGTCCGCACGGGTAGGTACCACCGCCCTGCCCTTTTCTGCCGTGAAGCAGTAATGCGTTTCGGTTTGAAGGGTGGGGCAGCCGTTGTAACTATACTGAGACCTTAGAACTTATATCTCAAGGTGTGTGGCGCATTTACGCTGTAGATGTCTATGGGCTCCAGTAACCACTTAACACCAGGTGGGCTGTGAGCTCGTCCACACATCTAAGAAATAAAAATAAAAAAGTGTGTGTGTCCGCTCCGACGCACGACTGGAGTTTACTGGATATAAAAAATTAAACGAAACAATACGAGAAATAGTTCTATATTACGACAACACGATACACTACAGATTATTAACAAATTAACGAGACACAAAACAAACGACTAACAAATATATGAAAATACAATAATGAGAGAAACGCGCGATCAGTACGAGGCTTTGTGGCGGACTGCCGGCGCAGCAGCCCGGCGTCACCTGCGATAACGCATTTCGTGTGACATGCGCAATCAGGCGCATAACGCATTTCGTGTGACATGCTAGTACGATTTTGGTCCCCATAATTTTCATACCCCGGGCCTATATATGTAAATCGATTCTAAAGGAGTAAACTCCAAAAAACTAATGAACTTTCACAATTATTTACTGTTGGTCGTCTTGTGAGTCTGCACGGGTAGTTATTTCTTTTTTTTTACCACCGCTCTGCCTATTTCTGCAGTGAATCAGGAATGCGTAACGGATTGATGGGTGAGGTAGCTAATATACTGTAGACTGAACCTTAGAACTCATGTCTCGAGTTATGTGACGGCATTTACTTTGTAGATGTCCATGGGCACCGATAACCACTTAACACTAGGCGGGCAGTGTCCCGGTCCACCCGTGAAAGCAATCAAAAACAAGGGCTTCACTATTCAGTGTACTTAATTGCCAGCTCTAAGCAAAATATGTTTCGTTGGCTGTAGTTTGACAGCTAATGTCCATGGGTGATGATGACCCTTCAATAAGGTTTTTTATGCTTTGACGGGTTAACTAGGTCTCAGCCCGCCTTATGTATATTAGTTAGTGGAGTCCATAGGCATCAAAAACGTCCAACGCAACTCACCTTGAGACATGAGTTGTGAGTCTCGGTTCTATGGTATAACGGCTGCACCACGGTTCAAAATGGAATATAGTACTCTTTCGCGGCAGTATTAGGTAGGATGGCAATACGTACCTGGGCGTGCTCACAAGATACCCTATCACCAGTAAGGTGGGACCGTAGCTTAACTACGCAAAAGCAGTAAAGCACTAATTATGAAATTTTCTTCAATTTTCCGGAGTCCCAGACAAAATTAAAACATTAAAACTACTTTTACGGTTTAGTTAATTTTGCGTTTTTAATTGTTATTTAACTATTTCCCACGTGTCGAATACTTTACAGCAGTGATTCTCAACCTTTTTTTGTTGCGGCACATATTTAACGATTTCAAAATTTGGCGGCACACAAAAAAAAAGATAAAAATTATTTACTTACTACAACACACTGCATAAATAGTTTATCAAAAAATTTTAATATACGAAATAAACTAAAATATACTAATTTTTTTTTTGGTGGATTTAAATATATATTCATGCTTAAAATATTTTTCTTTTAAAATGATATAATTTAATAATATTAACATTATTATATATTCGCAAAATTTGGCGGCACACTTTTGAAATTTGGTGGCACACAAAAGTGCCGCGGAACAGTGGTTGAGAATAACTGCTTTACAGTTTTCGTGGTCACGGACGACAAAATCATTATAATATATAAATATATAAATTATTCATCGCCTCGAAAAATATTCAAATGTCGTAATTTAAATGCCAAAAATAGTGGATGCGAGATTATATAGAGTAGATTTTGTAATTTAATCTTAACTGCTAATAATTTTAAATAATTTTTTTTCAATAATACTCAATACGGTGAATTCTAAAATAATACAGATAAATTTTAAATCTTAAAAATTAGAACTAAAGAGAGAGAGAAAAAGAAAGAAAAATATGCCTTATTGTACACCAAAATAAATACATAAAAATTATATACGGAAAAGAACAATAGTCCAATATTCAACTGTATATTATTTTGGGTATTCACAAATGGTCCTGTTATATGATATTTGAAAGGATATAATATAGTTACATACCTCCGATGCGGTAGCGTTGTTAACTTGATGTATTTAGCTGTTTAAGTTCGTTTTTAATAATGAAAGTTTCAAAATAAACGTAGCGTTTTCGACAAATAATACAATACAATCACAAACTGAGATCCGGATGTAGCTCGGTGGGCTTGTCCACGCTAATCTGGACAATATCTAAACCAATTTGTGAACAAACGAAGCCGGGGGATTTGTCTTATTTAAATCGACAGACAGTTGTGAACTGTTTGAAATCGCGTATTAGCTTTCAGAACGTGCCCCTTAATAATAATTAAACAATTCAGTCGGTACCACCGGCCTGAGAATTTACACTCTTCGCCATAAAAAGGTACGAAAAAAATATAATACGTACAATGTAGTTTGTTAGTTATTGTTAATTTCAAATTTTACATATTCAACTGATTTTCGTTTAATAATTTGTTTGATTCACTGTCAAACGATATATGTATATCATCTCAGCGTGTGTGATGCGTACACTATATAATATTGTAACTTGAATAATAAAAATAAAAAGGGAATTTTATAAAATAAAAAAATAATAAAAACATCTCAAATCATTCACTGAGCTCAAATTTATTTGTCCTGAATTCTTCAAGACAATGTGTATTTACAATTTTCCAGTACATTACAATTATAGTACAATTATATAAATATTAACTAAGAAGAGAGCACATAAATTTCGATAATACTATCGGTATTGTTATCATCAAAGTTATGCTTCAACGGAGCGTTCAGCTTTGAAGCAGGTAACAAGTAAGTAGTTCCTAAATTTTCAAGGACTTCGCGATCCCTTCCATAAGATAACTATTGTTCCCTGAGTTAGGCAACCCTCCCTTACTTTCCTTTGCCTTCGAAACTTTGTTTCAGTTATTACATTTTACTTTGTTGTATAGAAAATATTAGTGATATTTTTCTAAAGCAAGTTTCCAATTTAAGAGCCAATACAATAAAAAGGAATACTTACCTAGAATAATAAGGACCTTCATCGTTGCTTCCTACTAAAAACACTGGCACAAGAATAGAAGAATTCAGGTATATTTTTTTTTAAGAATCGTTCGAAATTTGAATTTTGGCGGCGTTCGTTGCGCTTCGCCGCCGGTCCGCGTGTGGCGCTTGCGTACACGACGCCATCAACCCGCACTATTCACGTTCACTTTCTACGTGGTGGGGTGCCGTGGGGAAGCCAAGGGTTTCTTGACACTACTGTGTTACGTACCGCTACGAATAATTATTCGATATAATTATTAATCGAATGTCCGATTAATGTGTTCCGCGTCGTTAGATTCCTTGGTCACATTTTTTTTAAAGTGTGCATTTAAATCTCTCTCTACACAGATTTTTTGAAACGGTAATCGTACGAGATAAATTGAATTGAAGTCTTCGTGGTCTAAAGGTTAAGACGTTCGGTGCATTCGTGCTGAGCGATGCACCGGTGTTCGAATCTCAGGCGGGTACCAACAAATGTTCACGATTGACTTCCACAGTGAAGGAATAACATCGTGTAATAAAAATCAAACCCGTAAAATTATAAAAAATTGCGTAATTACTGGTGGTAGGACCTCTTGTGAGTCCGCTCGGGTAGGTATCAGCATCCTGCCCATTTCTGCCGTGAGGCAGTAATGCGTTTCGGCTTGAAGGGTGGGGCAGCCGTTGTAACTATACTGAGACCTTAGAACTTATACCTCAAGGTGGGTGGCGCATTTACGTTGTAGATGTCCATGGGCTTCAGTAACCAATTAACACCAGGTGGGCTGTGAGCTCATCCACACATCTAGGCAATAACAAAAAAAAAAGAATTTAAAACATTAAAAAACTCAGCATTGAAATGCTGACGACACATCTGACTCACTTAATGTTTAGTATACGCTATCAAAAGTTTTTGCTCATACCACAGATTACCGTCACAGTCGAAAGTGAACTTCGAATTCCTGTTTTTCGAGAAACCCAGTGAAATGAGCGCAGTGATTTATGGTGAATCGGACTGACTCATATTATCACTTAACACTAGTTTCTATATTAATGTTCTCGCATAATCGACACTTGTAAATTAAGCGCAGCGCTGACCTAGAGCTTAGCGACCGAGACTACTGTACCCCGAGGATCAGATTCGACGCCGGGTCGGTGAATAAATTTGTCAAAATTAGGACGTTAAAAAACTCGCACTAAGCACGCTGATTTTGATCTAAGCACCTGATTGGACATGTGCTTGCTTATTGATAAAAAAATAATTATGTATGTGTGACATTAAATAATATTAATGATATTAATCAGTATTAGTAGTAATATTGTAATAAATATAAACATATTAAAGGATGTATATCTTTACCTATATTCTTGGAAATGCTCTGCGTAATCCGTGACGACTAGATCCTCAAATCTGATTAACATACCAAAGCTGAGCTCACAAATGGCGGACAGCCCTGTGAGGCCGCCAATTCGACATAAATAACTAAACAACGCAAGTCACTTCTACTGAATTCATTACATCAAGTGGATCCCACGTTAATGCAACATTATTTCTCAAATAATTCCGAAATTCTACCATTGCCTATGTTTGCTTAGACGCTGTTGCAATAATGTCAACAACGGCGTCTACATAGATGTAATAGAGGCACACTTTTATATTATTACTAATTCATCGTGGCACGGAAAATATGTAATTAGATATACCGATTTGAAGTATCGATAAGTGGAAGTCTCAAATGTACTCTCCAATCAAATAGGAACCCATATCTCTTTCGCAGCAGAAGCAGGCATGATAAAGTCTGAGTAGCTTTGACTTTAATCTAATTTAAACTCAACCTTATGTTTCGTGGAGGATAAAATTAAATACCATAACACTATAAGCGTACGGCTAATCCTTAAAAGAAAAGCTCCCAAGGGTTCGAAGGAGAATTTTTTGGCGGCCCCTAAACTCTATGATCTATAATGATTATTCCTATTAGCGGTAGGCAGCGGCTTGGCTCTGCCCTTGGCATTGCTGTAGTCCATGGGCGACGGTAACCACTCACCATCAGGTGGGCCGTATGCTCGTCTGCCTACAAAGGCAATAAAAAAATAAAAATAAAACCTAGCTAGAGGCATTTTTGTTGTTTTTTTTTTGTTAGCATCTGCTTAGTAAGAGCAGAACTTTGCTGAATCTATTACCGAATCGTAATCGCGACCCACTGAAAGGAAAACCCAATAAGTGATTGAGATCTTTACACGACGTTAATAACGGATAAGACGTCCGGTGCATTCGTGTTGAGCGATGCACCAGTGTTCAAATCTCAGACGGGTACCAATTTTTCTAATGAAATACGTACTCAACAAATGTTCACGATTGACTTCCACGGTGAAGGAATAGCATCGTGTAATAAAAATTAAACCCGCAAAATTATAATTTGCGTAATTACTGGTGGTAGGACCTGTTGTGAGCCCGCGCGGGTGGGTACCACCACCCTGCCTATTTCTGCCGTGAAGCAGTAATTCGTTTCGGTTTGAAGGGTGGGGTAGCCGTTGTAACTATACTTAAGACCTTAGAACTTATATCTCAAGATGGGTGGCGCATTTACGTTGTGGATGTCTATGGGCTCCAGTAACCACTTAACACCAGGTGGGCTGTGAGCTCATCCACCCATCTCAGCAAAAAAAAACTTTATACATAAAGCGATTCTTTACACATTTATTTAAATAATATACCAAATAAATTGTTTCGAATAATCACACCATAGTCCCGCGACATCAAAGAAATCTGTCACTTTGAATGAGACTAACATGGTGTGGGCGGACGTGAAATTGCCTCTAATCGCCGAGAAATGTAAACTTAACACAATTTATTACTTTTCTTATAATATTACACACAAAAAGTATATTAAGTTAATAATAAATGTTATTAACGAATGGTTGTAAAGACAAAAGTTACAGTGAAAATTAAAACTGTAATCTATTTATTAATACGTGAAGCAAAAACTTTGTATCCCTTTTTACGAAAATTGCGCGGACGGAGGAGTATGAAATTTTCCACACTTATAGAGAACATAGAGAAGAAGTGCACAATGCTAATATTTTTTTTAAATAATGCATAAAAGATACATTAAATCAATAAAGAAAACATTTCACACACTACATACCGTGTATTTGACGCACACACGCATGCATACTATTTATTGTCAATCTATTGTTCTTGACGTCTGTGGTCAAATTGAGAATAGATTAAACATTGTTTGTCTTTATTAATATTTTTTTATAGTGTAACCTTGGCGAAATACAATCATAATAGTGTACAAACTTACAATTCCAATTAATTATAGTCGAATTTCGACTACTGCGGGACCTCTAGTACTCTCTTAATACGGCTATCCATAAATAGTGAACCAAAATTATTTCGTTCTCCCTCCATAAATACCTTTTCGATGCAGTGGGTTGCCTATCTTTCTTAATCGATGTCTACCTTGATCACTATAATACTAGTTCATTAGGTATGCTGAAAGATATCTCTAGAAGTTTCAATACTTAAGTTTTTATTTATTTATTGTTTAAATGGGTAGACGAACTCACAGCCCACCTGGTGTTAAACGGCTACTGGAGCCCATAGATATCTACAACGTAAATGCGCCACCCACTTTGAGATATAAGTTCCAAAGTCTCAAGTATAGTTACAACGGCTGCTCCGCCCTTCAAACCGAAACGCATTACTGCTTCACGGCATAAATAGGCAGGGTGGTGGTACCTACACGCGCGGACTCACAGCAGGTTCTACCACCAGTAATTACGCAAATTATAATTTTGCGGGTTTGATTTTTATTACACGATGTTATTCCTTCACCGTGGAAGTCAATCGTGAATATTTGTCGAGTATGTATTTCATTAGAAAAATTGGTACTCGCCTGGGATTCGAACACCGGTGCATCGCTCAACACGAATGGACCGGGCGTCTTATCCTTTAGGCCACGTCGACTTCAAAAAGTAGAGACTTCAAAAGGTAGATTTCGTCTTGCGTATTCTTACCGTGTGTAGTATTACAGAAATTGTGAAAAAAAATTAGAGTGAAGTATAATACGCATGCATTCATGCATTGGTGCATTCATTCTATCAAACGGTGCCAGTGCGCCTCTGTGCGAATCCTACAGGCAGCTAACAATTTTTGTATGAAATACGCACTAAATTCCGGTACTTGGGGGTCGATATCGACCGGAGTTTGAGGATGACCGCCCACGCCATGTCGGCGTTGGCGGCCGCTCGCTATGCGAGATTCCTCCTCCGGCCGGTGTTGGCCTCCAGGTTGCCGGTCAGGACTAAGCTCGGCATTTATAAGACGTATGTCCGTTCCCGTATCACGTACGCAGCTGCGGCCTGGTATCACCTCATCCCGCAGGGTATGCAGGAGAGGTTACAGGTCCAGCAAAATCTGGCTCTTCGCACGATAGAAGGAGCAGGGCGTTACGTCAGAAATCGTGGAGTCGCTCGAGGAGTTCATCCGAAGGCTAGCTCGTAATCTTTACGAGCGGGCTGACGGTGGACCCCACGAGCATCTCCACAATTTAGCTCCCTTGCACGCCAGACCACCTGATGGTCGGGCACTACCAAGGGAGCTACAGTGGAACCCCCTTCTTTGGTAAGATAATCGGCTTAACCGGAGTGATATGGGAGTGCTCATAATGAGTGCCCCCATGGGACTGGAGGCTGTCCACACTCGTCACTTCCCCCCACATTGTTGGGGTGCCCCCCTATGGGGACCCATTTTCCACCCCCGAGGGTGGACCACTCTCCCGTTTGGGGAGTGTTTTAAGTCGGCCCCTCCCCGTGACGGACTTCCCCTTCTGGGGAGCCCGCAGCGGGTGAGCGCCTTACTAGTGCCGCGGTTCCCCATCTGATTTGTAGAGGTGGGGCCGCGGCATGGGGCCGGTGGCGGGCCCCACGATTGCTGACTGTTGTCCCTGTTTGTAAATAGTAGTTTAGTTAGTTTTAGTTTAGTTGTAGTTAGTTTTAGTTAATCTTAAGGGAAAAAAAAAATTATAGATATAGAATAGGATACAGAGGACAGCAGCCGGCGCCGGGGTGACTCCGCCGCGGGCATCGCTCCGTCCATCGTTATTATATTTATTTATTTATTTAT